GGGAGGGGGAGGGGTGGGAGGGAGGAGGGGCAGCACACATACCTTGAACTGCCTTGCCAGGTGTTGCTTATGACTCTCCTCCACCTGTTTGAACTTGGACTCCAGTCCTTTCATCTGGTTCTCCATCTTCTCCACGTACTGCAAGTCTCTCTGAGTCCGCCTGTCCAGGACCTCTATGGATTGAGACATGTTTTGCACCTGTCAAAAAGGCAACGGGTTCAAGAAAGGAGCTGCAGCAGGTGCCCAAAATCTTATTTGCCTCCTAATACGCAAAAGCGACCACGGACGGCCAGCCCACTGGGAGCGGAAGCAGCCCGCGCGTGATTTACTAGTTAATCATCCAGCAGAGCAAACTGGTTGGGTCAGCGCTTCCTCTGCCGTCTCCAGGACGTGCTCTTACAACCAGGGGTGCAGGAGCCTCCGGTTCCTCACCGGTCACAGCTCCAGGCATGTGGCTTTGGGTGATTTTTTTTCTTTTTTGGGGAGAGATGATTGTTTCTAGTCTTTTTATTCTGCAGGATGAAATCAGCCAGGCAGGCATAAACACCAACGAAGACGAACAGTGTCGCTGGGCTTCCCCCAGCTCCTCTGTCCCCCTAGACCTCACTGGCTGTCTTCCTGGGAAGGCTGCCTGTGTAAGCGCAGTGCGCGGGAAGCAGGGACCGGGCTCCCTGATTTGGCATCTTGCACGCCATCCATCACGCCCCACAGTATCATAGGCAGATGACTGCTCTGCAAACGTGTACGTTCAGAACACAGAGTCAGGAATCAATCACCCAGCAAATGAAAAATCGCTGTTTTACATCTTCACGGGCAGATGTGAATTGAGTCTAGCCTCAAGATGGAACTTTAATATTCAACAGGATTCCAGAGAGCTTAAAAGAAAAACAGTTTCAGTGCAGCCACCTGCCAGCGCGTTTTATTTTCAGGAAACTGACTGGCGCTTCCGAGCAAATGGGCTCGGGGCTGTGGGGAGGCGCGGCGGGGCTCAGGGTCGCCGCAGCATGGTTTGGGTCATTTTTGCAGAAAATAATCCAATCACTAGGGGAACGATGCTTGCATTGCACGACTCTTCATTTCTGACTTTTTGCTGGATTTGAAAATACCCCCCTTTTAGGAACAAAATCACTTGGGTCCCAGTCTTCGCTTTGCCTGGTCAGTAAAAGAGGAGATGGCGGTGTGGCGTGTTCCTCTTACAGCACATCCTCCACCCCCGCAAATAAAACAGTCAGAGAGAGCGTGACCAAAGGCTCTCGGTGGGAGAAACCGGGTACTGCTCACCTCAACACTGAACAACGCCTGGACTTTATGGCTCGTTATTTGAAAGTCACGCACGGATTCGGTTTAAACATTCAGGCTTGTAAGATACAGCATGTGCTGACTTGGACTCCTCCTGCTCTGTTCCCTTCAGCTGTTTTCCGGGAAAATGAAATATATTTGCTTCGCTACCTCGAGTCTCCCTGTCCCCACTCAACTGTTGGCCCCACCACTTTGAAGAACTGCAGACTTCTTTGAGAAAAGTTGTCTTTCCTTTATCCTTCCAGGCCCAGCCCAAATGCCACCTCCTCCAGGGAGGCTTCCCTGATGAGCCAAGCCAGAAGGGGCTGGGCACCTCTTGGAAACACCATCATCTTGTTGGCACAATGCTTGCACACACCCGTCTCTACGGCCTTCCTGGACCACACCTGTTGCCCATTGCAAGGCCCTCCACCTAAGGCCCAGCCTTACCGTGGGAGCTCAGTCAAGACCCCTACCGCCAGGGGGTACGATTCCTGAAATGACTGAGAACCCACCCGGCTGCGGACTCAGGTTTGCTGAGCGGAAGTTGCTGAACCCACGTGGCTTCAGCCTCGTTTCTGATGGGGGCCACGCAAGGCGCGCTGGGCTGTTCATTCGCCAGAGAAGGAATGCTTTTAGCAAGTTAAAAAATTTCAAATTAAATTTTTTAATTAAAAAAATGGTTTTTTTGGGGGGTGGAGGAGTAATTAGGCTGAGTTGTTAAATAGAGGCACTAGTGATTGAACCCAGGACCTCATCCATGCTAAGCACGCCCTCTACCGCTGAGCGCTACCCTCCCCCTTGACTTGAATCTTAAATTCAGAAAACAAATCTTAAAGATGCCAAGCAGCTCAGTGACCTTAAAACACAATACACGCCTTCCTACGGTCCTTCCCACGGGGTGCAGGCTTCCCTTTCTGGCCAATCACAAAGCAGATCACGGAGCCCCGGGGGCTGGGGGCAGTCACTCCCTGATCACAGTCTAGAACCTTCTCCTCTGCACGCGTCCTGTCTCCTACCTGTAGGACGTGCCCCTGAGAGGCCAGCTGAGGAGCTCAAGGTCACACAGTGCCAGATGCACAGGCCAACCCCCACCCCGGATGGCGGCAGGTGCTGGGGCGAGGGGCGGCAGCACACACACCGGGCCCAGAGGGGACGACTGCCCCCTCAAATCCACGGACTGCTTTCTTCGTTCCAGGCACATTCTATGCTGAGCCCCCCATCTTACTTATCCCCGGGAGGTGGGCACTACTTCAAGTCCCATTTCACACATAAAGGAGACCAAGGCTCAGAGAAGCTAAGAACCGGTCTCCTGCCACACAGCAGACAGCCACCACGCAGGGCCTGGACTGGCTCCGAAGCCTCCGCTCTCAAGCTCTGGGCTGAGTGCGTCTTCAGAGAGGACAGGGCCTGGGGTCCTCGCCTGCCCTTGGCGACCCAGGGCTCCTCAGGCCCAGCCCTGGGGGGCTATCGCGACACACTGGTGCCCGGCTCCTCCCAGGACTGCAGGTGGGCTAAAGTCAGGGCTTCTGGGCCTGGGACCCACGGCTCTGCCTTTGGAAGCTCCCAAGGTGGGTTTTCAGGGGACTCCAGGCAGGAAAAACCCGCACAACTGGGACCCCAGCCCCGGGGACAGAACAGGAGCTCAGAAGGTGCTGGGTGCACACCCACCTCAGCCCAGCTCTGCGCTCAGGCCAGAAAGGGGAAGAGGAGGCGGTGGAGGCGGGCTGAGGGGCGGGGGGGGGGGCGAGCAGCCCCGCCCCTCCCGCGAGGCAGCAGCCAGCGGCTCCTGCCCTGGAAGCCCTCAGGGAACGCAGGGCCCACTAGGGTGTAAAAACAGGGCTTTTCATTTTTAAGCAGTGATGCTGCGGTGCACACAGGCAGGGAAGGGCTCCAAGCCTGTGTTCCCAGGGGCTCACGGAGCTTTCTGGAACCCTCTGAGCGCCTCGTCCCAAGGACTTGGGAGCTGCTCCCACCTCCCAGGGGCCTGGCAGCCCCTCCAAGCACCACCGCCCTCCTCTACAATTCTGAATTATTAAAGGCCCAGTTAGACTTTGGTCTAGTTTGGTTTTTGATAAATGTTTGTGGAATCTGCTCAACGTATCTTTCTTTAATTCTGATAAAGCGGTGTACCGGGGGCCTGCAGGTGGCGGAAGACAGAGCACACAGCTCCTGGGGGGGAGGGGGAGCCCGGCCGCCCCTGCTGCTCCTCGCCCCTCGCCCCTCCCCGGCCCCTCAGCTCTCAGCCGCCCTCTCCCTCCACAGCTGAAGAAACCGAATCCAAGAAAGGCGCCTGGTTACCATGACCTGTGTGAGGGCTGCGGGGTGAGCTGGGCTCGAACTGAACCGGACCGAGCCTGGCCCGGAGACGGCCCTCTGCCGGCCGCCAGAACTCCCCGTGTGGCGTCATGGGGCTGTGTGTGCGCGCGTGGTGTGCAGGGGGTGTGTGTATGTTATGTGTATTTGTGTGTGGTGTGTGTGAGTGAGAGGCGTGCGTGGGGTGTAAGGTGTGTGTGTGACATTTGTGTGGTTGTGTGACGGACGTACATGTGCTGTGTGATGTGTGTGCTGTCTTCATGCAGGTGCGTCCGTCAGCGTTTGTGCGCGGTGTGTGGGAGGTGTGACCCCTCTCAGGGCGCGAAGGGTCCTGACACAACATGTGCGCTCTTCCTGGGGGAGGGTGCCGAGTGGAGCAGAAGGACCACCCATTCCTCCTTCTCCCCTGAGTGGCCCCCAGGGGACCTGACCCTCGAGGTACCTGAAACCCCAGGGTTCTTGGAGCAGGGCGTGCGGGGAGGCTGGGAGCGAACCAGGCGGGAGGCTGGCCCCAGGGCTGGGACGGGCTCCCCTGCTAGCCAGCTGTTTGGCTTGGGACGGTCAGTCCACCTCCCTGGACCCAGAGCCCCTCTTCTGAAAATGGGGTGAAAATCTCACCAGCTTCACCTGGTTCTTGTGAAGCTCGAGTGAATAAAGGATGCCAGATGCGTCTGTTACAAAGGCGACAGTTTCGTCTGCTTTTGCACCCAGAAGGCAGTCCCGGGGGGTGGGGGTGAACGCCTGGCCGGGCTGCCACCAGGGCAATCACTCACAAGGCGGGCAAAGACCAGGGGAGCTCCCCCAGGTGCTGCTCCGTGACAGCGCGGAGCCCTCTGGACCACAGACGTGGCAGGACTGGGAGACGGCGGTGGGGGGCGGAGCCCTGCGTGGCCCCTTGCTACACCCACGTGGCTCCTCAGTGGGGCTACTGGCCTCCTCCTGGGCCACCCTTGGGGAGTCTCCACCCATTCATTCACCCATCACTTCATTCACAAATATTCCCAGTGGGGACGTGCAAGGGAAGAGTGAGGCCTTGGAGCTGGGATGAACCCTGCAGGCTAGCCACGCCCTGCTGCCGGTGTGGGCACGGGCAGGCACGCATGCGCGCCTGCGCACGTGTGCGTGCACACACACACACACACACGCTGCACAGACTCACCTTTTCCAGCAGCTGCCTCAGCTGTTTTGTGCGGGCATCCCGTGAACACATAGTCTGCTGGGGGGCGACCACCGTGCAGATACACCTGCCCTCGCTGTCCTGGGCAGAGCTGTACACCTGCCAGCTCTCCTCAGGGTTGGTGGGCAGCACCTGGAGAGGCGGCAGGCGGAGGAGGGAGAGGGAGGGGGAAGTGAGACCATAAAGTAGCGCGTGACTATCCTCATCCACCCCCGGGGAAGGGCGGAAGGAAGTGGTCCAAGGACACGTGTCTACCCTGGGGAGGACGGGGTCCCCGGGAACACAGACCATCTCCCATCAGGAGCCCCAGGGCTGGAAGGCAGTCACACAGGTAGAGCTCTTTAAAAATTGTTTTCTAATCCAAGGGAGTTTTAAATTTAGGGGATGTTTGGAGTCTCGGCATCTGACCAAATTCACACGTTGGGTGGAAGGCAGGGTGACCAGAGGCTGCAGGCCGGCTGAGCAGCAAGCAGGACAGCAGGCGGCTGGCTGACTCACAGCGGGCACGTAATTGGGAAATCAGACCTCCTCCCGTAAGTGGGGGGGGGGGTGCTGGCGCAGCCTCGCTTGGCTGCTCCCTGACGCTGGAGATGAAGGGCCCGCGGTAAGAGCCCGGAGCCAGCAGCCTGTTAGCCCAGAGCTGCAGCGACCCCAAGCCTGGGCCACATTCCCGCTGGCAGCCCGGCCGAGGCAGTCCCTGCCGGCGAGGATGCCGGGCTTCCAGCTCCACACAGGCTGCCACCCACGAGCCATTTGGAGGATGCCACCAAGTTGCTGGTGACATGTTGTGCCGGGGTCACACCCAACCTCAGTGCCGAGGTGTGCCCAAGGACCATCACGAAGCCAGAGCTGATGTGGCTGGTGTCACCTTGCAGCCCAGCTCAGGGGTCCCCACCGGCAGGGACGCGGGCAGGCACTACTGTCGGAAAACACTCCCCGAGCCCAGACCTGCAGCCTGCCCAGTCGCCTCAGGCCACCTCCCTGCTATTTTTAGCGTGGGGCGGGGAGGAGAAGCTGGGCGGAGGGAATCCATAGTAGATGCATTTCATTTCATTCATTTCTAACCCTGAGCTCAGGACCCACAGGCAGGAACAAAGTCATTAGGAAGAAAACGCTGCATGCAGTTCCCGAAAGAGCAGGTGAGGTGGACGGATGACGGCTCCGAGGGGTCGCCATGAGACCTCCTCCCGGGGCAC